TAATACTACTTTTCAGTGAACAAAGGTAGAATTATCATTTTGACTATGTGAGATAGCCGTGGTTCAACAGACTAGTATTCATACTGGTGATGATTGAAGGTGGAATGAAAATTTTGACTGGCTGAATTCGAACCAGGCCCAACCGGTTTTCTGGTCCCATGCTATACCAACTGACCAATATTAATCTACCAAACCACGGCTATCTCAGATAGTCAAGGTGATAATCAATATGATGCTCCCCCTTTCTAATTCAGTTACATTTGGATCAGCATGAGAAGTCTTGACTAAGAAGATGTCAGTGTGAATATGATCAAGTGGTAGTAACACAACACGAATTTACATAGTAGTAGGACGGAACCCATGGTGATTGAAGTGAAATAAAAATCTGATCAGCAGTTGGACCTCGTAGCTCAGTTGGTAGAGCATTGGAGCGGAAACCCGGTAGTCACTGGTCGGAATCCGGCCGCTGTCGAAATTTCCATTTCACGTTCGATCATCACCCAGCATAAAAGTAGAATTCTGGAAATATTATCAAAACAAATGCCTACCGTTAGGTATAAGCTTTGCACTAAGAATTCCCTTATAATATTGTAACGACCAGTTGTTGATAAGATTTCGTCTAGCCTGTAGATAGGTACGTTATTTCAGGAAGCGGGCAGAGCAGTGTGAATTTGATGGTGGCCACGAGAATCTCTAAAAGAAAAAAGGAAGAGGAGAGAGGTGAGTCGACGACTCAGCAAGTACGTAGGATGTACTTACATTTAATGATAAAAGATAACTGACAAGCGGTAGAGCTGGAAAACGAAGAGGTGAGGCAGTCTGGAAATCGAAACTCCAAGGTGAATGAGTAAGATTTCGAATGCGCTACAATACATTAAAAGCAGAATACTAGTACATCATCTCGTCACACCAGACTGACCAATGTCGTGTTGTCTAGTTCAAAGTGTTAACCAATTTCTATTGGTCACAATTGCAATATGGTTAACAGACTAAGACATTTACCATTGCAGTAAACTGTTTCATTTTAGGCAAACAATTAGCAATAAGCCATTCTCAGTATTATAAGGACACTTTGACATTATTCTGTATTGTTAACTAACTCATTGAGAAGAAGATAATTATCTCTCGTTATTCATAATAAAGATGACGATTTGTTTTCATTTTTATCCGTTAAGCATTTCCATCCAATTACTTTTGTTCTATTCAGCATCAGTAATACATGATTGTATTGGGTAACTGTCTATAGGCTTAGTTTGTATTCCTTATTCCTTATTGATGTTACTTCAGTAGATATTTCCAATGAAATGAAAGGTGGGATAGGAAAGTTGCTCTGTCCTTGTACGAACCAGTCAAATGACCTTGAGCCGAATTCGGCACTTTCAGATTGAAAAAATTTCAATAGTAATACTGAAAACTGTTTTTTTTGCAAAAGTGAAGAAAGTTAAAATGTTAATCGTTTTACACGATTAAAAGAAACATGTTTAATAACTATTCAGTGTATTCTATTTTTGAAGTTCGAAAATTAAACTGTAATTTGGTAGTTAAGGTGTTCATGCTGATAGTAAATCATGACACGAATTTAACCTACTAAATGAACGGTTTCCATTATATTTTAGAATAGTTAGAGTAAAGATGTCTTCTGATCCTCAATGATGCTTTCTATTCTCTGACCTGAATTCTATCTATCATAACTTAGAAGCTAATTCTTAACTCTTTAAATCGAAGCCCACGACTAGAATAGCCACTTTCATTTTAAAAAATTTACTTCTTTAACCTTGACGAATATTGCTGACTGTAAATCTTTCAAACTATAAAGAAAATTCTCGTTTCAAGCTTGCAAAAGCTTTAAATGTGAAGAATTCTGCATTAACTAACGATTCGTCAATATGTGAAGGATAGGCTTCCACTTATGTCCATATCCATGTGTATCTACAAGTTCACATGGACCTGTGGAGCTGACTATATTGAACGTTGTAAGCGGGCTCTCCGAAAACGTGTTGCTGAACACTACCCCGTTTGGCTTGCCAGAGGTGAACAAAAGAAAATGACTTCATTCATATATGAACAGCGTGCTGAATTAAGTCATTCAGCACCTTGAGATTCATTCTTTGAAATAATTTACAAAGTTAAACTGAACTACTCCAAAAGTTTACGTTTCCACTACTTATGCATAGCTGAAGCATTAGCTATACATGAACAAAAATCGAAACTTTACATTCAATAATGTTTTCTGAGATCACTTTCTCTACCTTAGTCTTAACAATTCATTTTGTTGATTTTGTCAATTTTCATTTCACTTCACCTTGGTATACTTCTCTTCTATTATCACCAATTTTCACTACACTGGCAACAATTGAACCATATTTCACTCTTTAATATCATCAATTCATTCCTTAATCATTGACCTATTGTATACGTTTCAGCTTAATTATCACCATTTTACAATTCTTTGACAGCACTTGTTGCTTATCTCACCACTTGTTATCAATTCGTTCCTCCTTATTCAATGACCCATCTTCTGTGTTCCACTTGAACAAATAGCAACACCTACACCTACTGTATATTTTGCATATTCATATGGTAATTATTTGGTGCAATTGTCTGTCGCTTTACTGAGTATAAATACGACTGTATAAGCTTGATATAATGAAGTAGTTGAAAAGAGATATTTCATCTTAGCTAATACATGTCTTCTTATTCAAGAAATAAATGGGTATATTTCGTCAATTCTGTTATATATTCGACGGGTGGATATAATACTCACGCTTAACCGACAGCTAACTTCGTACACAAAAGCCACCCACTGCAACCCGGGAAGAATAGAGAGAAGACCGAAGTTGGATGATGAGATAGTTTATTCCTTCGAGAATATAAAAACAATAATCAATCCCAAAAAGCTTGAATATCTATAAATATGAATATGACCTTGTCCCCAATTTGAGACATTGACATAGTAAGAGTAGGGATTAACCAATCAGGGAATTACATTACAAATGCGGGCAGAAAATAAGCTATTAGTCATACTGTAAAAATGGTGTGAAAATGACAAGTTAAAAATGTTCGGATCGATAACAATTTTTTATGCAAAAGTAGGACTTCACAACACCAACATAATAGAGCCTTGGATTCGTTAAATATTGTAATTTCGTTCTAGGTCATAGGTGGTCGTTAATGCGTATTTATATCTACGGTCATTACTGTTACGACAGTAACATTCCATTACGGTTCCTAGGGAAATCTTAACCATGAATCTCGAATTCAGGGGAGACAGCACAGCCGAAGTGTTGAGAGACCGTCTGTCAAGGTGTATCAATAGTAGCTTCTATGCTTCTAGACTGATATTGATATTCTACAACCGCCGACTGATTCGACAATGCATGAAGGATAGGCTTCCACTTATCTCTACATCTATATATATCTACAAACTCACATACTGTTGTGAAGCTGACTATATTAGACGTTGTAAGCGAGCCCTCCGAAAACGTGTTGCTGAACATTACCTGGTTTGGTTTACCAAAAGTGAGCAAAAGAAAACGACATCTTCCATATGTAAACACCTAGTACAATTAGGTCATTCAGCACCTCATGATTCATCCTTAAAAGTAAATTGAACTCCTCCAAAGGTTAACGTTTCCACCACTTATGCATAGGTGAAGCATTAGCTATACATGAACAAAAACCGAAACTTTGCATTCAAAAACGTTTAGTAAGACCACTTTTTCTATCTTGGCCTTAACAATTCATTTTGGTTATTCTTTCATTTTCATTTCACTTCACTTTGGTATACTTCTCTTCTATTATCATGAATATCACCAATTTTCACTTCATTGACAACACTTGAACCATATTTCACTCTTTAATATCATCAATTCATTACTTAATCATTGACCTATTGTACACGTTTCAGCCTAATTATCACCATTTTACAATTCTTTGACAGCACTTGTTGCTTATCTCACCACATGTTATCAATTCGTTCCTCCTTATTCAATGATCCATCTTCTGTGTTCCACTTGAACAAATACCATACCAACTACACCGATCATTGTCTATTATGCATATTGACTGAGCATGTCGTTTAAGTGCAATTATCTGTCACTTTACAGAGTATAAATACGACTATATAAGCTTGATATAATGAAGTTGTTGATAAGAAATATTTCTTCTTAGCTGATACATGCCTTGTTCTTGTTAATTCTGCATTATTTCAGCCTTAACGAAAACATAAAATGCTTTAAACTTTTATCAGTAGAAAACATGTAACTAACCGAGTTCTTTCTGACTAGTTACTTCAAAGCCAGCAGAAAATTCTATTTGTTTCAATATAAAATTGATTACTTCTATACAAGATGCACAATATAAACACAATCAGATATGCTGTTATAACAGAATAAGAGTAACTCAGAGAGGTACTTACTGAACAGTTAGTTGTCAAACAATGATTAACTTATTTTCAGTATATCACAGCCATCGTTGAAACAACCTCTCAAAAAAATACTAACCAAACTTTTAAATGAAATTAGTCAGAAATGCTAATGGTACAAGGGGAAATTAGACATTGTTTTCTTCTCGAACAACACTCAAAAACAAGCATACCGGGGCATCATAGTGAGATAGAAATTTCATTCAATTTTTAACTTTCTAAGTGACACTGCATTCAATTCAATAGAACAAAATAATAAATTTTTAAGTACTTGCAGAAATATCATAATTGGGAACTCAACAGTATACATTATCATGGAGCGGTTATCGTGACTCAGTGGTATGCTAAACAGCGCTCTGGCGTTTGAAGTATTTGGTCTTGGTTGGATCTGTATCATTCAGTGGGAAGGCAGGTAGATCTTGCTGATTAGTCTCAGGTAGGACGGAACGTGCATTCTGAATCCCACTGCTAGCCACTAGCTATTCTTAAAGTATACATGATCTTCTAAATTATGGTTTATAAGCAAATTATTTGACCAATATGTTTTGCTTAAATAATCTATTTACTTACTTTTTAGACAAGCGTGTATTGAAGCATTAGATGATCTTGGATTTACTGCTCTTATGTACTGTGCCCAAAGGAATTTACCAGAGTAAGTTTGTCAATACAACCTTTGATAAATTTCTCATTAAACTTAGTTAGTTATCCTAATGAATCTTAGTTTTTTCGATTTCTATGGGCGTAGATATGATACTGTTGTCTTTTACCTGACCACTAGACTATGTAACTCAGCTCTATAATATAGCTTAGAACTTGTCGCTCACTATGATCAATAGCTGTCTTCCTACAAGGTCTGACTGACCGGGCTAAAAAGGAACTGAACTACTGTTCACGTGACTATTCGTAAATATTCAGTCAAAATCAGTTATAAAATGAATCAGTGCTATATAAACAAATAAGTGACAAAGATAAAAATCACCACAAATTGACCTTCAGATAACAAATAAACAGTGACCGCTAACATGTAAAAAAGTGGGTAGTCAATAAATGTCTATCAGTGACTGACAATCTCAAGTTAAAAATGAAATAAGACTAATAATCACTCAATGGATAATATATGTATACTGGGTGATGATTGAAGGTGAAATGGAAATTTGTACAGCGGCCGGATTCCAACCAATGACTACCGGGTTTCCGCTCCAATGCTCTACCAACTGAGCCACGAGGTCTGACTGCTGATCAGATTTTTATTTCACTTCAATCACCAGGGTTTCTGTTCTACTACTATGTGAATTCGTGTTGTGTTACTACCACTTGATCATATTCACACTGACATCTTCTTAGTCAAGACTTCTCATGCTGATCCAAATGTAACTGAATTAGAAAGGGAGAGAATCATATTGATCAAGCCGTAGTAACGCATCATGAATTCATGTGGTAGTCTGGCCAAACCCATGGTAATTGAAGTGAAATAAAAATCTGGTCAACAGTCGGTTGTCACCATCAATGATTACACAGTATAAATACTAGTCTGTAACAGCACAGCTATCTAAGATAGTCAAAATGATAATATATATAGAAGTAGTATTCATCATGGACTGGCATCAGTTGGGGAACCATTGAAAACCTGGGAGTACCGGACAGCTGTTTCGTCCTAGTGTGGAACTCCTCAGCAGTACGCACCCACGACCCGACTAGGGATCGAACTCAGGACCCTCAGGTTTCACGGCGAACACGTTAACCATTCAGCCACTGGGTCGGTTTGCAGTGGTTCACAATTTCCAATTTCTGTCAATTTACGACATAGCGGATGCCAACTGAAGACGTGCTGTATCGTGAATTCACAGAAGTTGGAAATTGTGAACTACTGAGAACCAACCCAGTGGTTGATTGGTTAACGCATTCGCCATGAAATCTAAGGGTCCTGAGTTCGAATTCCAGGGTGAATACTTCAGTCAGGTTGATGGTTTTGCCATGGCTACACGATAGGGCATCTTTCTAGCAGACATATTTGTTTTAGAAGTTGTATTCATCATGAACTGATATCAGTTGGGTGCGTACTGCTGAGGAGTCCCATACTAGGACGAAACAGCTGTACAGTGCTCCCAAATCTTCAATGATTCCCCAACTGATGTCAGTCCATGATGAATACTACTTCTTAATTAAAAATCCCATTCATCTGAAAAAAGATAATATATGTATTTACGCATAAGTGAATAGGATATATTAAAATCGAAATTTCTATATGGAAAAACACTCTGTCTGTGAAAAGCTGGTACTGAGGAACTTCAAAGCCGTAATTTCTGGAATTAGTCTATTGTTCAGTAGAATCTTTTATGTGTAATAAATTTAGTGTTATTTTTAGTCAGAAGGGGTGAATTCATTTCCTATGGAATGTAATTTAAAGATTTTAATGATATAATCAATCAGTTGCCACTGACACTTGTCAGCAACCATAATGAAAGGTAAGTAAAGAAAACTAGTCAGTGATTTTGTCTTGGCAAGAGTTTCGTCAAGAAATACTGCACTAGACAGAAAGTTATTCCAAGTTGTTATTCATCGTAGACTGATATCAGTTGGAGGAACAAAGGAAACCTGGGAGCACTGGACAGTTGTTTCGTCAGACTAGTATGGGACTCCTCAGCAGTGCGCACCCACGACCCCACCAGCAGGGATCGAACCCACGACCTTCAGGTTCCGCGGCCAGCGGGTTACCATTGAGCTAGCCACTGGGTCAGAATCCAATGGTCCATATTTCCAACTTCTGTTAGCTCACGATATAGCGCAACCGCCACCCAATGTCAACGCTGAGTATCTGTCCTCATGGCCATCAGGCTTTGACTCCACCGGTCAGGACCTCTCATTGGAACTTCGGGAATACTTCTCGAAGCTAATCACCAATGAGCACCAGTTCACTGCGCACTGCTGAGGAGTCCCATACTAGTCTGACGAAACAGCTGTCCAGTGCTCCCAGGTTTCCTTTGTTCCTCCAACTGATGTCAGTCTACGATGAATAACAACTTGAAATAATTCCAAATCTCCACAACTCCCTCAGAAAGTTATTCGCCTATTTTTTTTTTTTGAAATTACAAATGTTATCATAAAGGGATTGTGAAATGAATTCAGTGAATGATATGGATTAATTAAATATCTTTAGGAGAAAATTAGGCTTATAGAATTTGTATTGTAAGTCTATGATGTTAAAGAATCAGTCAAGTAGGCAATAAACACAAGAACTCTGTATTGACAAAAGAATAAGTTTACAAAATGACTTCATTAACATAAGAAAGAAAGCTTTATTTATATACGGAAATTAGAGTCGTTAAGTTTTCTATCTGGAAGTAATGCAAAAACAATTAAGAATCCTAGATTAGTATTCAATCGTTTCAATGTGTTTTCCTTCAGTTGATTTTGAGTAACGGCAGTATTTTAAAAAAAAATTCTAACATAACTATCTTTCATTTGTACACACTATCAATTTAGCATAATAGTTTTCGTTATTCTATACTCTACAAAATCTTTAACTCATAATAATAGTAATATTCACCTTATTCTAAACAATTTTTGATACAGTTTGAAATTCTTAGCATAATATATTGCAACGACAACAAAATACATGCATATTTATACTCGTTTAAAACATTCCGAATCGTACCGAATTGATTGGTCTCTATCAGGATATGGGCTCCTGTGCGGATGCCTTTATATACGTGTATTCTAGTTAAAGTAAAGATGTATAGTGGCTGACAGTGGAATCTAGGATATGCATTTCGTTCTATTTGTTACCTGTCAGTTGGATATACCTGCCTCCAAGTGAGTGATGTGGTTCCCACCGGGATTCCGACTTGGGAGCACAATCACTTCAAACGCCATAGTGTTATCCACTACACCATCGAGCCATAATAGCCACTTCTTGTGCGATGGGTATACTTTTAGTGTTATTGCTTGTATTATACCGTCGTTGATCGGACCGAATTGACCGAATCGATCCATCATTATTATAATTAAAATACAGGTAATATCGAGACATCCTCACAGGAACCCATATGCCAATAGAAACCGATGAATTGGGTCCAATTAACAATTGTACTATACAAGCAGTAACGCTTAAATTATACCCGTCGCACAAGAAGTGGCTATTGTGGCTCGATGGTGTAGTGGATAACGCTCTGGCGTTTGAAGCAATCGCTCCCAAGTCGGAATCCCGGTGGGAACCACACCACTCACTTGGAGGCAGGTACATCCAACTGACAGGTAACAAATAGAACGAAATGCGCATCCTAGATTCCACTGTCAGGCACTGTACATCTTTACTATTTTGAATTGCGTTATTATAAAAATTTAAGTAAGATAAAGAATATTAAAAACGAGAACATTTTACATTGTTAATTAAATTATTCAAATGAGATTGTTAAGTGTAACAAAGTTGATGTTTGATTTCTGTTCTAACACCCTTTTTTCCTCACGTAGTATGGGTGGTACGTAAAGTACAGTTGAACTCTTGTACTTAGCTGTACCAGCGTACAATCTGATGTAGTTTCTTCTTGTCCTTTCCGAGGGCATATTGTAGTGGGCGTTGCTGATAACAACAGATATAAGTAGTATATATCGAGAGGGTGGCAGGAATCATAGGGAATTACCGGCAATGGATAAGCTTTCTGTCAAGAGCAACGCAGGGGATAACACATGCGTATTACAGAGGATGCTGCTGATAAGAGTGTATGAAGAGCAGGTCAAAAGCAAATCAAGACAGGAACGGAGGAAGAAACGAAGACATTTGCAAATGACTGGGTTAGTGCAAAGTGTACCATATGTAACCACTACCATTCCAATTGTTCTTGATAAATATTGTTTCGTAAAGTTTGTCTTCTGTCTCTTCAGTATAAGAAGAGAGCTGGGAATAAATCAGATTCTCAATGCCACTTTAAATTAATGTAGCTGGTTGATTGCTAGAAGTTGAGTGTCTGTCAACTAGATGGTTACTCAGTTGGGTCATAGGCACACCACCCACTCTATTGAAGGCTTTCAAAGCCCTACGCAATATAAAATAGTCTTTTTTTAGTAGACGAGGATAGATCAACAGGGAGCAACAAAGAGGAATAGGTAAAATGCAGGAATTAGTAAATTGCAAAGTGACCAAGAAAGATCAGAAACAGAACTCAGTCCAAGATAGTTAGCACTCGATTTACTTTCTGTACAAATATCAGTAGCTTACATTGCTAATTGGTTACAATCTGTGTAAGTTAGATATCTTTGGATATGGAATTTGTGATACTTATGGCTAATCTATGTGACTTATCTATCACACTAAGTTAGCTAGTAAGTTTCCTCAGATTCATATCAGTGTTATGGTTGATGATCAAGTACATAGATTTCTATTGACTAGAAAGGCAAATAAACTCTCCGCGTATTCGTTAGATGATCCAGTTAACTGTAGTACGGTATTTTTTTTTATCACTAATGCTGAACATAATGTAAAATTTCATCCTTAATTATTCTGATTTCTTTAACTGCATATCACAGAAAAATTAAAACCTCCTGTGATATTTACAAAGCTGGACAGGGGAAAAGATCTTAGAAGACTTGGATTTCGCCGATGACTTGTACCTAATGTTGCACAAACTTGAAGATCTACAGGCAAAAAGCAACAACTTGACAGAAGAGGCGAGGCAGTGAAGACGACGTATCCTTCAGGTGAACGTAAAGGAGACAGAGATGATGAAGAAACCCAATCAACAACAAGCTCCAATCATCATCAATGGAAGAAACCTAAAGGAAGTAGCCTCCTTCACCTATCTAGGCAGTACTGTTTCAACTACAGGTGGCGGCACAGGCAAAGACGAGAACATCAAATCCAGTCAGGATCGAAAACACAGCAAGATAGGCCTTCCTGCATTACTCTGAAATCAGTGTGGAGATCGACTGCACTGCACTCAACGTAAAACGTGAACAAGATCCGGATTTTCAACACCAAGTCAGTCAAATCAGTGCTTCCATGTGATGGTTGACAGACTTGGCGCATCACGAAAAGCACCTCCAACAAACTACAGACATCATACATGAACAGCTGCCTACGCTGGCTCGTTAATGAAGCTCAGATGAGATGGCCAGAATAATAGGAATAAACAAGAAGGAACTCTGGCTGGCTGGCTGGCTGGCTGACTGGCAACGAACCGACGAAACAAGAAGCTATCACACAAGAAATATGCACTGGAAGGAAGTGGAAGTGGAGATGTATTGAGCATACAGTGAGAAGGCCGACTGGTGACATCACGCGCCAGGCTAGGTGCTCGAGTGGAATCCAAGTGGGAACCGACGAGATGGGTGTCCGTGGCGAATGTTAGGTGGAGGAGATGGTTTGAGGAAGAAATGAAAGTTTGTGGGCTCTCGTGGAGCTAGGTTGAAAAGACTATAGAGAATAGAGTTGAATGGAGGCATGCTACTGAATCCTTATGTTCCACTGGGAACTCAAGGGACAAATAATAGTAATAATAATAATGATATTTACAAAACTTATTACTACCGATAAGTTTAACTTCTTTTTTTTTTTAGTATGATGTCTATTTTACTGGAAGCAAATGCAAGTACAGAAACGGAAACGAGTACAGGAAAAACTGCACTTATGTTTGCCGCTTTCAAGGTTAGTAATCTGTTCACATGTTTGATTGAGGAGAAGGGTATCAATTATAACTTTAGTAGGTTGAAACATTTCGAAGGAAACTTGTTTTTGCGGCAAAGTATATATCTTAAGATGAAGGTTTATGGTCCAAAGTTAGGCAGTGATCAAACAACCTCGGAGAAATAACTACGTTGTTCTATAATATTTTGAAATGAATCATAAGAGTTGTACTTTAGTGACAGTTATGTGAAACTTAAAGGAAGTAGTCTCTTTCACCCACAAGCTCTCATTTCTTCCTCAAACCATCTCCTCCACCTAACATTCGCCACGGACACCCATCTCGTCGGTTCCCACTTGGATTCCACTCGAGCACCTAGCCTGGCGCGTGATGTCCTCAGTCAGCCTTCTCACTGTATGCTCAATACATCTCCACTTCCACTTCCTTCCAGTGCATATTTCTTGTGTGATAGCTTCTTGTTTCGTCGGTTCGTTGCCAGTCAGCCAGCCAGCCAGCCAGCCAGAGTTCCTTCTTGTTTATTCCTATTATTCTGGCCATCTCATCTGAGCTTCATTAACGAGCCAGCGTAGGCAGCTGTTCATGTATGATGTCTGTAGTTTGTTGGAGGTGCTTTTCGTGATGCGCCAAGTCTGTCAACCATCACATGGAAGCACTGATTTGACTGACTTGGTGTTGAAAATCCGGATCTTGTTCACGTTTTACGTTGAGTGCAGTGCAGTCGATCTCCACACTGATTTCAGAGTAATGCAGGAAGGCCTATCTTGCTGTGTTTTCGATCCTGACTGGATTTGATGTTCTCGTCTTTGCCTGTGCCGCCACCTGTAGTTGAAACAGTACTGCCTAGATAGGTGAAGGAGGCTACTTCCTTTAGGTTTCTTCATTGATGATGATTGGAGCTTGTTGTTGATTGGGTTTCTTCATCATCTCTGTCTCCTTTACGTTCACCTGAAGGATACGTCGTCTTCACTGCCTCGCCTCTTCTGTCAAGTTGTTGCTTTTTGCCTGTAGATCTTCGAGTTTATGCTACAAAACATTAGACATTAATCATCATCATTGGTGAAATCCAAATCTTCTAGGCTCTTTTCATCAGTCAAACAGCGTATGCTCATCTTCTCACAGCTCCTCACAGTTTGTTGCATGATCCAGTCAACCACAATGAGGGAGATGATTGGTGATAGTAGGCAGCAAGCTTATCTTACCCCTGTCTACACTTCAAACGTGTTACTGAGCTTTCCATTATGGATCACTTGGCATATGGCGTCGTCATGTACCAGTTGAATGAGGTTGATAAAGATTTGTGGTATCCCATAGTGTTGAAGCAGTTGCCAAATTACTTCTCGGTCGACACTGTCAAAGGCCTTTTCAAAGTCGATGAAGTTGACGTAGAGGGTTGACTGCTATTTTATACTCTGTTCTATGATGATGCGTAGCTTTGCAAGTTGATCGGCACATGATTTGTTCTTCCTGAATCCAGCCAGCATGTTCCGGTCGTAGTTTTGAATCCAGAGTGTCCTTTAGTCTCTCCAGGATGATGCGGCATAACAGTTTGCTTGGGGTGGACGAGGACAGCAGCATGATTCCGCGGCAGTTCTTGCGAAGGCTTATGTCTCCATTCTTCGGGAGTTTGACAAGGTACCCCTTCTTACAATCTGCAGGTACTCTTCCTTCCCTCCAAACCTTCTGCAACAGTGGTGTGAGCGTGTCCGCTGTTGTCTCTGCGTCTATTTTCAGTGCTTCCGGAGGAGTTCTGTCTTGTCTTGCTACTTTGCCTGATTTCAGCAGTTGTATGGCATTGAGGACTTCTGCTTTTGTCGGAGGGCCTGTGTTCACTGGTAGTTTTGCCGTTGCTGGTGGTATTTCTGGAATCAGACAGTTAGGTGATATGAATGAGGCAAGTTAAGTGAGTTGTAATGAAAATGTCTTGTTTAAGGTTGCAGTTATTCGGATGAGCAAATGAAGTAACACCAGATACTGTTGAATGTAAATGAGTTTTATAAGAGTGAACAGGAATATTCTACCCTTGAATATTTAATCGATTTCTACCATTCAACCTATCCATACAATGATTTTAAGGTTGTCTATCGAAATCGCCCAAAAATTTCACGTTTCCTCTGTTATCAACTTCTAAAAACAGTAGAAGCTTTGGCTATTCATGAACTGAAGTCTAATTTACCTTTGTATGCTAAAGAAGTAACCATAATCTTTGTCTCAACCTTGGCCTTAATGTAATGTAGTCCTGGCTTGTTGTATTTGGTTTGGTTTTATCAACTTTCCCCTTTGTTAGATTAATCTTTGTTCTCTTATATCATCATTATTATTTTGTTTTTACATTTTATGGTTACGGCTGTTACTTCATTTAATCGTTCTAATAAAATTGCAATTTTTAACAAAACATTTCCAATCTATATTCCAATTAACTTGTCTCATTCATATTAATAATCCTTCAGTTGTTTACTAGTTCTACCATATTTTCTCTCTTTTGTAATCTATGTGGGGCCAATTTGAAAATCTTACATAATCCGTTTTTACTATTCATTGATATACTTGTAGTGCTCCGTTGTTTTATTGGATCGAATTGTTCGACTTCTATTGGTATATGGGCTCCTATATAGATGCTTCAATATTGCACAAATGTTAATCATGATTATTTACTTGGTTGTGGCTAGCAGAAAAATCCAAGACATGCGTTTCGTCCTATTTGGGACTCGTCAGCTGGATGTACCTGCACCCCAGTGAATGATGTTGTTCCCATGAGTAACATCCGGGCAATATTGAGGCATCCACATATGAGCCCATATACCAATAGAGGTCAAAAAATTCGATCAAATAAAACAATAGAGCACTACAAGTATATCAATAGATAGTAAAAACTAATACCCGTAGACTATTGTGCTTCCTTGGAATAGTTGATAACGCCCCGGGGTTTGAAGTGATGAATACAAGGTTCGAATACCAGTGGGTGCAGGTACATCTAGCTGAAGAGTCACAAATAGAACGAAACTCGCGTTCCGGATTCTTCTGCTAGCCACAACCAAGCAAATTACCATGATTAGTCCGTTTTTGTTAGCATTCAATTTTTGTGTCACCAACTAGGGATATTGTTATAACTATAGCCATCATTATTGTTGGCTCCATCACTGAGTATTAAAGCTCAATTTTCCTCACGGATTGTCATCTTTATGTATGTATAGCCTGAGAATAAATTAGTTGAGAATAGTTTTCTTCATTGAATTCTCTTGTTTTTTTAAGGTCATAATGGGAATTATGAATTAATTGGTTATAAGAATGTTTAGTAAGTATACCATTAAACACAATGAAAATTTTCTTAAACAGGCTCTGTATTAAGAAATCAGAAATCAATGCATATAATTATCACACTGAAATAAGAGATTTAACGTATCATTTTTATAAACAGTTAACTTTTGACTTTTTGAGTGGCTGACATCCCTGGTATACAGAGGTAGCCTATTCAAAGTCATTTTGAGTTATGTGGTTACACGTTATAAGGAAGACTGTTAAAGCGGTTATGATCAAAAAAAAACCAGACATTCAGGAATAGTACTACTGGTTGGAATACATTTATATCTGGAGGGAAAATCAAGTTTTTGAATCTAAGTGCTTTTATAAAATATACTTTCAAAACGACCTATTTAACTAGTTCCACATTGGCAGGTAAACTTGTATCACGTTGATAGTTTTGTCTTCATATCAAGACTATCCAAAAAAATTATCGATATCTCTTTCTATTGTTTAACTAAATTAATCATCAACTTTTGTTTTCTCAGGAAAACAATATTTCTGTACATTAATCTGTTCAACAAATATCAACTTTATGATGTGAGTCTTTGCTTTCTCATAAGCTAAGCGAAAATTTTCTTACTCTGATGAGTAGAAATATATTCAACTTAAATTAATTTGCATTACTACCATAATGAAATTAAAAATAGTAACAAGCTAGGTACATAGAGTTGACAGAAGAGGCAGTGAAGATGGGACTTCAAATGAATATAGAGAAGACAGAGGTGATGAAGATACCCAACCACTACCAACAGTAACAACAAGCTCCAATCATCATCAATGGGAGAAACCTAAAGGAAGTAGCCTCCTTCACCTATCTAGGCAGCACTGTTTCAACTACAGGTGGCGGCACACTCGAGGACGTCAAAGCAAGACATGCGTTCATTAACTTGAAACCAGTTTGGATATCTTCTGCACTGCACTCAGCATGTGGAACAAGATTCAGATTTTCAACACCAAGTCAGTCAAGTCAGTGCTTCCATGTGATGGTTGACAGACTTGGCGCATCACGAAAAGCACCTCCAACAAACTACAGACATCATACATGAACAGCTGCCTACTCTGGCTCGTTAATGAAGCTCAGATGAGATGGCCATAATAATAGGAATAAACAAGAAGGAACTCTGGCTGGCTGGCTGGCTGGCTGGCTGGCTGGCTGGCTGGCTGGCTGCTGGCTGGCTGGCTGGCTGGCTGGCTGGCTGGCTGGCTGGCTGGCTGCTGGCTGGCTGGCTGGCTGGCTGGCTGGCTGGCTGGCTGGCTGGCTGGCTGGCTGGCTGGCTGGCTGGCTGGCTGGCTGACTGGCTGACTGGCAACGAACCGACGAAACAAGAAGCTATCACACAAGAAATATGCACTGGAAGGAAGTGGAAGTGGAGATGTATTGAGCATACAGTGAGAAGGCCGACTGAGGATATCACGCGCCAGGCTAGGTGCTCGAGTGGAATCCAAGTGGGAACCGACGAGATGGGTGTCCGTGGCGAATGTTAGGTGGAGAGATGGTTTGAAGAAGAAATGAGAGCTTGTGGGCAGTCGTGGAACCAAGTTCAAAGATTTCAGAGAACAGGGCGCATTGGAGACGTGCTATTGAAGCCCTATGATCCATTAGGAACCCAAGAGACAAATAATAATAAAAATAAGTACACAGAGGTTTACATACCAAGAGTAGCTGTTCAAACAAATCCACAAGGCGAAATTTCATACTTTAGTGTTAAGTGTTATGTACATCTTGGTTATCACTATACCAAGCCGCTGCGACCAACACTCTAGTCCCACTGGTTATCTTTTTAAATGGTACTGTGAATATTTTATTTCAAATACAGGTGTTTATTATTGTAGAACTGAGATCGAAATCCACTCAGCAATCTTGCACACATTTATACAGTAGGCAACAGGCAACACCTACCGTTTGAGAACAAATGATACCACATGGATGCTCGGACCTCCGTAGGTGTTGTTGTACTCGACTTTACAGCTAAGCTAACTCCTTAATGAATTGCCTGAGGCTGTTTAGGACTGCTAGGAATTACCTGATTGTGTAAATATACGTATTACAATCAAGGTTATTGTTCTTCCCTTATGAGTATGAGCATTTCAGTTCTCATTAGTACGAATTTCGAATTTCAACTTTCGTACTCTGTAACACATAGCTACACGTTCGCAACTTGCTTGCCGAAAATCTTAATGCCCTTTATCTGAACCTTCCATAACATCATTGGTTCACAAATGAAGAGTGTGATCTAAACCGAGTGAGCTACTTACTACTCTCTAATTTTCACTGGTTCTTTAGCCACCGTCAGTCCTGGCAGTATTGCTCGCGATTGGCTGAATCATCATGAGCGCAATGTTCAGATTAGATGAAAGGTTCTAGGAAAAGCAGATTGATGAGGTTGTGAACCTAAATCGACTGATATGGGTTTGATATATGCTGCACATACCGAGCCACCGCCTATCTATACATGCCATGCTACAGGAAGCTGGACTGGGTTAGAAGAGGATTCAGGGTAGACTATCTGTTTGAGGTTCCCAAGACGAAAGGAGTCAGTGGTTGAGAACTCTTTGTCACATAGCTGAAATTGGTCAAAACGGCGCAGATGTATTCAGTCCTTGTCATCTTCTAAAGCTTGAATGGGATCACCAACCTTTACCTTCAGATTGTTTATTCTCTCACACAACTTTACCTACTTGGTATCGATCCTTTTATATCCATCTGTTCATTGTATACTTCTGTGAACTAGGAAAACTTGAACCGATGCACTATTGTACGAGGTCCTACGGTGATTTCGTCAGTGTCAGCTGGTTAACATCAATCCATGCTGAAAAATTCACATAAAAGTGGTTTAAATTTGTGTATGGCTATGGCTTCCACAAATCTCAAAATACGTCACTGACTGTTTCCATATAAAACTTTGAAAGCTGTTTGAACATTAACTTTGTGACCTGTTTCTATGATATGTTTGGCTATAGATGAAGAGGGTCGTCTCCTACCAGCGTTTATCACTGTTTCACACTCTATTCGTTTTTGAAGCCATTTTGAATATGAATGCAATTAGCAAAGAGGAATTTAATTCATTGAAACCTATCGGATCCGAATTTCCAAATTTATATGGATTAGGATTACCTGAGATTCATAAAGCTAATAACCCCTTACGCTCTATATTGTCTATGTGTCGTTCTTCCACACATAAACTGGCAAAATGGTTGGTAAAAATGTTAAATCTAGTTCGAAATGAATTCTGTAAGTTTTCATTGAAAGATTCTTTTCAAATTGTTGACTGTCTTAGTAATATGAATATAAAAAACAAGATTATGTACGCTTTCCATGTAAATTCCTTACTGAGTAACGTGCCATTGTCCAAGTCTATTAGCATTCCCATTTCCTATTACTCCAACCTTTCTGAAGGAGTTATTATTGCTGTGTACCGAAAAAGTCCACTTCACATTTGAAGGTGAACGCTTCGGACAAGTTGACGGTGTAGATATGGGTAGTCCATTAGAACCACTACTAGCTCATATATTTATATGTCATAATATATTGAAAATCTGTCTGGTGATCTCATGGCTAAAGTTCCTCTTTACAAAAGATATGTTGATGACATCATAGTGATTTGTGAGACACATGAGGATATGACCTGTCTACTAAATAGACTTAATGCCGTACAAACACACATCAGCCTGACATGTGAGAAAGAGAATAGTAATCAACTGCCATTCCTAGATATACTTCTCGGTCGACGAGAAGATGGTTCAATAAGACGGTCAGTTTACATAAAGCCTACATGAACAGGACAATACCTGAATTTCCACAGTTTTTGTCCAATCCAATACAAGCGAGGTCTAGTAAAATGCCTGTTCAATAGGATCTGTCGTATCAGTCAGTCCACCACATGCGATGGATGAAGACATCAAATTACTGAGCAAAGCATCTATGGAAAATGGATATTCGATGAACCGTTTTCGAGGTCAAGTAGCACCAAAACCAACTCTATACACGATCCTTAAGAAAAGCGTCCATATCACTCTACCATAGAGAGGGGAGTTGAATAGTATCATTTTGAGACGTCGACTGACATCAGCCACTAAGAAAACATATTACGCAGCGAATCTTACCATTGTGGAGAAAATAAAACATATGCTTCACCGAAAAGCTTAACACTGCATCAGTGATTATGTCACATCCCATTGTGTTTACCGATTTCCATGTGTGTGTGTGGTCACACATGCATAAGGAGGAGGAGTAATCGAGTCATGCAGTTGAGGGTGGGAGAACATGTGCCTAAATGGCTCCAAAAACGAATAGAGTGTGAAACAGTGATAAACGCTGGTAGGAGACGACCCTCTTCATCTATAGCCAAACATATCATAGAAACAGGTCACAAAGTTAATGTTCAAACAGCTTTCAAAGTTTTATATAGAAACAGTCAGGGAAGTGTTCTGAGATTTGTGGAAGCCATAGCCATACACAAATTTAAGCCACTTTTATGTGTACAAAAACAGTTTGTTATTACACTACACCAACCTTGCTTGGCAATCTTTGTTTTCTTATGAAGATTAGGATCAACTATGTCTGTCAACTATGTTTGTTCTCATCTTTCTTAATTTTAATCCCCTATTGTGTTATTTGTTGTATTTATCCCCCCTTCCAATCCTTGGTTTAATATAGATTGACATGAGACAAGTAAATGTGTGATCAGATTGTTCGAAATGTATTGCACAAATACATCACACTGCTGAGATAAACTTCGTCTTCTTATTACGCTATCGAAATTCATAAAAGGGACTAATTGTTCCAAATCTTTTATGATTATTATTATTATTATCTCCATCGTTAAGTCGATCATTTATCACATCAGCCGACAAATCTACATGATTAGTTGAATTTTATGCATATGTATTAAGCTATTTGTATTAGAGAAATGTCTGAAAATGACGTAATTGAAAACAATAATGTTTGCTTGTATGTCTTGTAATTTTCATGATGGGAATTTTTAAAACTAGTAAAATATACAGCACACTTTATGTACAAAATTTATCGCCTACTCAAATTTGAATTAAGTAGTAGTAGTATATTCAAAGCGTCAGTTGATATCTCCGGTTTACAGAACTTAGATGATGAATTTGCTTTATTTTTGATGTTATATTTCAGATTCAGATTTGTTGTTTGACGATAGGAAGCTGGGAGCCTATATTAATCCTTTTCCAGTAGATTTCTGTGCTTGTTCAATCCCTTTTTCAACGAGTTAATTGATGATGCGGACACCACTTCTGGGAGTCGGTTCCAGGCGTTGATTACTCGACACGAGAACCAGTACTCTATGGAGATTATGTTCTTTCTTTGCTTTCGTAGTCTCCTACTATGTCCTCTGAGGTGTTCCGACCTAGTGGGAAGGAAAAGAGAAGATAGATCAGGTCCAAAGTCATTTCTTAGAATCCTGTATAACATGATTAGGTCTCCCCTATGTCTGCGGTAAGACAAAGTGAAGAGGTTCAGCTCCTTAAGTCGGTCTACAAAGTAAAAGCAGAAAGTCATATTTCATCTTGTTTTCGTGTCTAATAGTACTCATCAATCTGGTAGGTCCATAAGCTTGAGGGGATTTACAACTCTATTGGAATCCAAACTAACACCAGTGACTACAGCATTTAGTTCAACGCTTCTCATCAATGGTCTCTGTTCATCTAACATCAATCAGAGTACTCCACAATGTCAATCATAGAAGCATGTCGACCAAATTAGAACATGATCTGTAGAACTCAATGATTACCTACTTTTTAACAGCTAACCAGACATTTTTCCTTTCCAGAATCAATGCTGATACATTTATCTATGCCAGTTTTAGTACATTTACAAACGTTAAACCACTTTTATCTCCCTTCCATTTACTATTTTGTTTGAATGTTTTCAAAGGATCATACAATAAATAAGTTGGTTGGATAATCATATTCCTTTACGGTTCTAATTCATTGTTGCTTAAAACATACTAAGATCTGTTTACCTGTATATAAACAAGAAAATGACGATCATTTTTTACTGTCGGTACTAGAATTTCTTCATTCATGAAGGCTCTCTGTTTCCTTCAAACATTTTCAAGAAAAAAACCCCACAACATTCTAACGTTCTTCATTTATCGAGTGTATTATAGAGTATAGAAGAGTTTATCCATGTACATATTGTTCAACATCAGGTGTTACACTGAATTATAGAAAACAATTGATGAAAATTATATACTTACTTATTTCTTCTCAGTTTTCCCTTACTTCATCCCCATATTTGTAAACTGAATACTTGTTTTCTATTCGCAGCAACTTGGATAAACAGTCACCCTTACATGATATTACCAATCTATATGCATGTAGTCATATGTGATTTTCAGCATTATAAGTATATATCTTTCAAATAGTCTTTTCAGAGACTTATGCAACAAAGAGAAAAATTAATCTTTCTCTTATTGTATATAGGGAAGTATTGAATGCATGGAACTTCTTCTTGAATATGGAGCTGATGTTAATCATGCGGACAAAAATGGTTTAACAGCTCTACATATGGCTGTCGATGGAGAGCAACCAAGAGCTATCAGATTGTTGATTAATTCTAGATCAAATCTTGAAGCTATAGATAATAATCTAGGATGGACACCTCTATTACGTTGTTGTAAGTCAATGATTAATGATATACAACCTTGTTGAATGATGTATTAACAGTTCCTTTATACGAGTGATTACTGACTGTGGTTTATTGCTCAATTAATTGTGAACAATCATTTAGCGAATACTATGTTAAATAGGAGTTCGTTTAACCAACAAGTGTGGAGAAATTATACCCCTCTTAGTTATATAATTGCATTACACTTAAGAGTTACTCTTCTGAGTAGATACTGATTATTATCTAGCGATATGCTTTTCTTTACTGACTGCATATAAGTGCTTTTCTGATAGTCACATTCTTTATGGCATAAAACTTCGTAATAAAATTCCTTACCAAAATAACAGTGAGGATAAATACTCTCTAGTTTTATTGAATGATAACCACACTATATCAAGAAGTATTGCAAGTTGTTATTCATCGTAGACTGACATCAGTTGGAGGAACAAACGAAACCTGGGAGCACTGGACAGCTGTTTCATCTTAGTAGGGGGCCTCCTCAGCAGTGCGCACCTACGACCTCGCCAGGGATCGAACCCACTACCTTCAGGTTCCGCGACCAGCCCGTTACCGTTGAGCCACTGTGTCAGAATTCAACGGTCCATATTTCCAACTTCTGTTACTCATGGTATAGCGCAACCGCCAGTGGCTCAATGGTAACGAGCAAGCCTCAGAACCTGGAGGTGGCGGGTACGATCCCTGGCGGGGTCGTAAGTGCGCACTGCTGAGGAGGCCCCCTACTAAGATGAAACAGCTGTCCAGTGCTCCCAGGTTTCCTTTGTTCCTTCAACTGATGTCAGTCTACGATAAATAACAACTTAAAATATTTTCAAACCTTCACAATTCCCTGAAAAATATATCATGAAGTGGTAAATATAAAAATGCGAACGATTTGATTCCAAATTAATAGTTCAATGGCGATATGGTCATAAGAAAACCTCATGGTTCTGCTCTGGACATTTCACACATTTGATAAATCTCAAACTAGTATGAAGTAGTCGCTTGGTGCTTATAGGTTTTTGGCAGATTTCCAACTGATGTCAATTAATGAAAGAATTCCCAAGGAAATAAATTCTTAACAGTTAACAAAACACTTACTAATTGTTTGTTGAATCTGAAGTCTTCTGGGAGATCATTGAATAGTGGTTCTCAACTAGTATAAAATCAACCGCTCAGTGCTTCGTAATTTTCAGTGACCCCGTAACATATGGTACTAGTCCATCATAAGAAATGTTTCTAATCTTTTCAATTCTGTACAAATCATCTACATGATTAACAACTTGACTTTCATTATTAAAATAACCTACTGAGGGGGGATACACTTCACAAAATTCGAATTGAGCTAGTAACATATTTAGTGAATTCAGATGAAAATAAACAATTCGTATCATTTTTAGGCTACATCATGAACTGAACGAAGTTGATATCTATAAATTGATAGATTCTGCTTCAACAATCGATTTGTAGTGTAAACCCCTAAAAACCAACCGGTTAACAACTTCAGAACCTATGAGGTGAAGGGTTAACACTCCTGAAAAGTTAGAAATTGTAACTTGAAATTTATTCAGTGTTCATTTGTTTTCAGTGATTCTTAATCAGATATCAGTTTGTTTACAATGTTATTTCAATAGATAGACAAAGTCAACTTAGAAATTCACATACAAGTCCATTGATTCATATTGACACATTTTTCATAGAAGCATAAAGAGAACAAGTTATACAAAAGTACATAAAGGTGTATGACAAGAGAATATATACCATTAATAATAATTATTATTATCCCGGTGGGAACAATATCACTCATTGGGAAGCAGGTACATCCAGTTGACGAGTCCCAAATAGGACGAAATGCTCATCCTGGATTCCATTGCTAACCACTGCCAATCATTACTATACATAGTTAAAAGACAAGCAATATCAAGGCATCCGCATAGAAGCCCATATGCCAAGAGAGACTGGTGAATTCGGTTCAATCAACAATGGTGTAATACAAGCAATGATACTAATTATTAAATTTTGAGGGAGTTGTGGAGATTTGGAAATATTTCAAGTTGTTATTCATTGTAGACTGACATCAGTTGGAGGAATAAAGGAAATCTGGGAGCACTGGACAGTTGTTTCGTCAGACTAGTATGGGACTCCTCAGCAGTGCGCACCCACGACCCCACCCCAGCAGGGATCGAACCCGCGACCTTCAGGTTCCGCGGCCAGCGGGTTACCATTAAGCCACTGGGTCAGAACCTAATGCTCCATATTTCCAACTTCTGTTAGCTCACGATATAGCGCAACTTGAATTGGTGCTCATTGGTGACTAGCTTCGAGAAGTATTCCCGAAGTTCCAATGAGAGGTCGTGACCGGTGGAGTCAAAGCCTGATGGCCATGAGGACAGATACTCAACGATGACATTGGGTGGCGGTTGCGCTATATATCGTGAGCTAACAGAAGTTGGAAATATGGAGCATTGGATTCTGACCCAGTGGCTAGCTCAATGGTAACGCGCTGGTCGCGGGTTCTATCCCTGCTGGTGTGAGGTCGTGAGTGCACACTGCTGAGGAGTCCCATACTAGGACGAAACAGCTGTCCAGTGCTCCTAGGTTTCGTTTGTTCCTCCAACTGATGTCAGTCTACGATGAATAACAACTTGAAATACTAATTATTATTATCTAGCTATTGACATCTAAATAAACCGAATGTCGAATTCATTAACCGGGAAAATAATTTCATCATTAACTCTCTAATTAATTACAATTTATATTATTTTAATACATTTGTTTATTGTACAACAGCTGCCTTGAAAAATAATGGTAATGTTGAAGTGGCTAGAGAATTAATTAAACTAGGCGCTAACATAAATGCACAAGATCATGATGGGAAATCATCACTTCATAATTGTATTATAGTTGGACATTATAATTTATGCCAATTTCTGTTAGAAAATAATGCAAATATACATTTACAGACTAATGTAAGTTGATTATTATACTTATAATTTAATTATTTTTATCATTTGAAGTAAGTTATTGTTATAAACTGAAGTTTTAATTGAAAACAATTACAATGTTATATTCAACATCATTATCATCAGGAATACAAGAGAAAATTAAATAAATTAACAATGAGTAGGTAGTTAAACTATGCTACTTCATCTGAATTCAATTTGACTAACTGTTTAATGAATTATCTGAGAGTTTATTAACCTAACTGGTTGACAGGTTTTATTTACCTTTCTAAAATAGTATAAAGAGATTGCTTCCTTGTGATTGACCCTTCTTTTTTTTTTTGAATGTTTATTATATGTCATATCATTTAGAAGCTATCCCTTTTAGAGTGTTGCTAAAATTCGACTGATACTAATTCCTCTTTGTTCTTAGTTTTCTACTGTTAACTTCTATAGAAAAAGACAAACCTATCATCTTGGAAACAATCGTATTCCCATTTTCTTTTTGACAATTTATACTGTCTATCATAGAGCAATAGGCAAATGTGATCTGAGTAAGACATCAGGAGCCATGAAGTGATGAGTGATATTCAATAGCTAACTGGTGATTCTGAGTCACCATGATTTGATCAGACCCCCCACACATATCTTAAGCTTTTTACATATTCCCTTTATTCTAACCAATACATTACTAACACTGTGAGCTAACACATAATATAGGTGTTTTGTTCATGTGCTACAACAGGTATACTATGAACGAAAATGGTTCAACTCAGAGGACTGCAACAATTAGCAAAACTCAGCAGAATTAAAATCCTGTATAGTCAACTAACTTTGAAACCTGGTTCAATTAATTTCATTCCCAATGTAACTGGTAACTTAGTCGACATAGAAAAAAAGGAAAAAAAAATTACATTCTAGAGGTTTACAAACGTTTAAATAGACAACAATACCTTCCTCTCTTTAATAGTCTATGCATAATGAAGTAAACATTAGTGTACTTATTGCATACAGCTTGATGTCATCTGAGAAACTATTCATCACTCAGGTTGATCACTTTCTTAGCACTTACTTCAAATTACTACCTACATAACAGAGCGATTAAATATACGAGAAGGTAATTTTTCAGCCTTATACTTCAGTGTACCTTCAGAACCTTTGTTCGATGTTGTATTTCTCATATTTTGTAAATTTATTTGAACAGAATTGCTTTTAGAATCAAACTGTACAATATATAACAACACATATTACATATTACTCTTCTTGACATTATATATACAATAAAGTAGATAAGATTTTTATATAGTTTTATTTTTATGCTCCTACAGAATGGACATAATGCACTTGTGTTAAGTGAATCAATTGGAAATCAGGTAGGTAATAATTATTGTTCTAGAGAATGAACTTTTTTTTGCCTTAAATTTAGAAAATTCAAAAGTTAATCAAGGAATATGCAAGTAAACACTCAATCTAGTGAGTTACAACCCTTAAAATGAAATATTTCATTAATTTGTTGAATATTTTTATTGAAATATAGTAATGATAGGCAGTGGCTAGCAGTGGAATCCATGATGCATGTTTCGTCCTACTTGGGACTCGTCAACTGGCTGTACCTGCTTCTCAGTGAGTGATGTTTTTGCCATCAGGACTCGGGAGAGATCGCTTCAAATGCCAGAGCGTTATCCACTACACTACCGAGCCACAATAGCCACTTCTTGTGTGACGGGTATAGTTTTAGTCTTATTCCTTGTATGTCACCGTCGTTGATGAGCATCCTGGATTCCACTGTTAGCCACTGCTCATCATTACTATACATAATTCAAAAAACAGGCAATATTGAGGCATCCGCACAGGAGCCCGATATACCAACAGAGACTGATGAATTTGGTCCAATCAACGACGGTGTCATACAAGCAATAACACTAAATTTAAACAGCGTAATTAGAAGACGAAGATTATCTGAAACATGTCGTGATGTATTAGCGCTATACATTTCGAACAATCTGATCACACATGGACTTGTCGAACTATTTATATGAAAATTTACAAAAAGGTCAATGAAGTTAATAGAAAACATAGAACAAATAGGAAGGGATAGAAAAAGAAAAACCTTACTCTTGGTATGAAAATTAAAACCAATACTATCAAGGTAGGTTCAACGTGAGTACGAATTGTTTTTGTATACATAAAGCGGGTTTAAATTTACGGATGGCAATAGCTTCAATAAATTTAAGCACTCGGCTGTGACCACTTTTATGCAGTACTGTAAAGGCTATTTTCATGTCTATCCTATGGTTAGTTTCTAGTATATATTTAGCGATAGACGAAGATGGATGTTTGTCACCAGCACTTATCGGATCTGTTGAGGTCATTTGTTTTTGTAGCCACTCAGGTACATGTTCAACCTTCTTTAGCTGCATCAAATCACAGTACTCCTCCCTATGTATATGTGTCCACACATACATGTAAATTGATAAACACAGTGGGATGTGATGTAAACGTTTATATGTTGTTTCGGTTTGTGCTGTAACATGGACTTGGTCTTCTCTACAATGATGACCTTAGCTGCATAATACGTTTTACAGATGGCCGATCTAAGTCTTTTCCTCACAAGAAAGCTATGTGAATCACCTCTAAATGGTAATGAGATGTAGACATTTTTCTTTGCAACGGAACACTGTACTTTTCAATGGTACATAACTTTTGCACCGGTCGATAAATCTCAACGGGTATCCATTCTGTGTCAGAGTTGTCGTCAGTAAGTTGGTTTCTTCCTCCCTGGTGTCATCGGTGCAGATACGGTTTATCCTGTTGAATAAGCATCTGACTAAACCACGTTTATATTGGACTGGGCGATAGCTATGGAGATTAAGATATTGCCCTGTCCATTTAGGTTTCTTATAGGTCGACCTCCTGATCGAACCATCCTCCTGTCGACTGAGCATTATGTCTAGGAACGGTAGCTGGTTGTTCGTCTCTTGTTCACAAGTCAGGCTAATGTAATTTTGAACCGTGTTCATTTTCTGTAGCAGGCACATTGCATCATCAGGCTTTTCACATATAATGACTATATCATCAACATATCTCTTATAAAGTGAAACCCTACCGATGAGATCGTCAGCCATGTTTTCAACATATGACATGTATACAACAGCTAGCAACGGTCCGAATGGACTACCCATCGCGACACCATCAATCTACTGAAAGTGTTCGCCCTCGAATGTGAATTCAACTTTATCAGTGCATAATAACAATAAATCTTTTAAAAAAGTAATGGGAATAGGGAATATAAGACTGTTAGAAGAAATATAGTCACATAAAATATCAATTGTTTTTACTAGAGGTACATTAGTAAATAAAGAATTTACATCGAACGAGTACATAGTCTTATCCTATTAACTTCATTAACCCTTTTCATAAATTTTCACATAAATAGTTCGACAAGTCCATGTGTGATCAGATTGTTCGAAATGTATAGCGCTAATACATCACGACATGTTTCAGATAATCTTCGTCTTCTAATTACGCTGTTTAAATTTATCAAAGGGACCGGTTGCTTAAAATAACACAAATTATTGAAATAGTTATAACTAAGGATAAGCATTTCTTCGAACGTATCCTGACCAACAGTGGACTGAATAGTATGAAAAACTTGGGCACCAAGTTAGTCTGATTCATCGTAGTAAGTGTACTTTTACTTGTATAATCCCGGCGTAGTATGTTAGAAAAAATAAGAAAATAAAGAAATATTTTTATTTTTCCTCAAAGTTTTGATCTTCCTAGGAAGCTCCTTTTCAAGAGTACAGAATCTGATGTTTTTATGCTAATATTCAAGTTTTACTACAACATCAAAGTATTCTTTAAGGTGAGTAACACTTTACACTCACACTTATGTAAATTAAAAGATTTGATTCCCTATTTGGGTCAACAGAACTGTGTTTATAAGGTAGATTGTAGTGAATGAAATCCCACATACACTGGAGAGACATCATGTCAGGTACTGACACGTCTAGCCGAACACTGTTGAGATTGCAAGAAACCACCAAAAATGATATGGAAATACTTGAAAAAAACTCTGCCATTGCTGCTTATGCCTTATATTCATGTCATAAAATATCATTTGAGAAGATCGAAAGTCTTACAGAAGAGTTTTCTTTCTCATAAAGAGCTGATTATTGCAGAAGCTTTGTATACCTGTTCATATCCTTCTCCGGTCAGCAGTAACGATGTGTTAGACATCCAACAAATATACTGGCAGACATTAATGACTTGTATAGACAGTCGTAAGTAATATATGAAGAGAAGTTAGAACATAATTTTATTTCATATGATTAATTACGCATTTAATCTTGCTTGAATAGTTTCTCGTGGTATTTCGCTTAATCGTCTTGACCACAAGGAAATAGACAAAAAGAATATACAGTGGTTGCATTTTAACAGCTTGTCTAGTCCTATTACATACACCTTATACATCTACTATTTTCATCAGTTCCACACTACTTTCTAAGTCATATACGTTCCATGAATCATAACATAATCCATTTTGTTATCATTCATACTTCAAGTGTTATCAAAAGTACTTTTATTATTATTATTATTATTATTATTACTTATTTATCATATATTGTCTGATCTTCAAATATTCATCCTTCCAAACTAGTAATCTCACCCTTGATGTCTCACAACTCCACTGTACTTTTCATAGACGAACTAGAAAATTTCCCCACCCTATTTTTGTTCAACCTTAATTGCACAACTGAATAAAGCGTCTCTGACCGATTTGCTAACTCACTCACTCACATTATATTGATCCTTGTTCCATGTCAGAATGTAACTGGATGATCGTAAAGGTCATCTTCTGCACCAAAACTTGAATATTAATATGAAGACTTTATTTCAAATTCATACTCTTGAAAAAGAGCCCCTAGCAAGATCGAAACGTTGAGGCATAACACAAAATATTTAGAGGTAGTATTCATCACGGCCCGACACCATTTGGGGGACCACTGAAGAACTGGGAGTACTAGACAGCTTTTTTGCCCTAGTATGGAACTCCTCAGCAGAACGCACCCACGACCCACAAGATATTTGTTTATTTTTGCTGACGTACTTGTAATTTGTTTATTTTGTTATTTGTTCTAATACACTACACCGGGATTACACAAGTAAAAAACAGCTAATACGACGAAGGATTTCTGCGATTTCTGCATTGAAATATATGTAGCTTCAAGAGATTGTAAGACATTTTATCCATTAAACATTATATGGTAATCTTTCAAAGGAGGTGTATTCTCAGCTGATTTTGTCGATGATAAAACTTCCAATCACATGCTAGTCATCGTCTTCTGTGAAGTTTAGCCGAATAAAATGATTAATATACCCATTTGGAAATCCTCAGAAGTGCTGACCTTCAAACTCATAAAACATCACAAAACATCAAGTCGGGTCTCGTGGTAGGCACTTCAGATACGGAGTTAAGGATCCAGTAGTCCATATTTTCAAACGCTTGTGCCCATTCGGGATTCAGTCCAACCATTACACATTTTCGATGCATTTCCGTGGATTAGATAAACTGATATGAAACAGTTCTACTGGCATCAAAGACGTAAACATTCGATTTTGATAGTGATTATGAATTGTGGCTGTCAGTGGAACCTAGTTGAAGACTGATCAGACAGATTTACTTGCCCTCCATTGAGTGATATTGTTCTCTCCTGAGATTACAGCTTCTGCTCCAAATCCCAGAGTGTTATCCACTGGTCTGCTGAGGTGTAACAGTCACTACTTGAGTGACAAGAGTAATTTCATGTTACTGACAGTAGTTTCCTGTTGTTGATCGATCTGAGTTGTGTCGATCGGTCAGACATTTTTGTTTTGTGGCGAGCTCAAAATAGGACAACATGCGTATCCTGAACTCTACCGCTACCCGATATTCACTAATCATATCAAAACTGAAATCACAGGAACTATCGAGGTATTCACCCAGTAGTCTTCTAGTCGACAATGGTCAATCGATCCGGTACACATAAGTCAACGATAACCATTAAACGTAGAATATATTAAGCGGTTGCAGAGTTTTGATTATAGGTGTCTTTGTAGCATTGCTGACCTTTGGTGGAATCACCATGTGAACAATGTTGAGGTCAGGCGAAGGGCACTAGGTAAGCCAAGTAAGTTGATTGATGAGACGGTGAACTTTAGTCAACTAGGATGACTTGTACATGTACTACGTATGCCCAGACACTGCCTACAGGGATGTTCCATGCTAAAGGAAGCTATATTAGGTTAGAAAAGGGAATAGGGTGGCCAGATCAGTCGATGTAGTCTCTGACACTTGATCCAAGGCATGTAGGGAGGTGTAGACTGTCTGACTGGGATCCTTGAGATGATTGGAACCATTGGTTGAGGACTGTTAATGACATGGCTGAAAGTCGGTAAGAATGGTGTGGATGTAGTCACTCCTTGACACCTTGTATAGCTTGAATACTTTCACTAACCTTTATCCTCAAATTGTTTATTCTCCCACACAACTTTATCTGCTTTATTATCACTACTTTTCGATTCATCTTTTCTTTTTATACTATTAAGAAGGATGGCAAGTTGAACTGATCCACTTGTATGTGAGTTTCTTCATTGATTTTGTCCAACTGACTGTATTTATATATCTCCTTAATACATTAAATGACTTAGCATTCATCATTCAGTAAAACTGAGAAATGTGTACGCCGAAGGTGTAAAGTAACCCTATTATTAATAGCAGGAGTTAAGCTTCTACCGTATTATTTTGTTATATATGGTTGAAGACAATGTACTCGCCGAGGTAAACTTTAATACCACAACTGTTACTAATGATAATGTGACTCATTTCATGCACTAACTACTGTCTTTCATAGGTTATCTCAGTAATTCACATATTCTTTCCCCTAAGCCTTGCACACGAAGTCTTCACGGTAAATAATTTATAATTTTAGGTATAAAACAAAAGTGGTATAGCGTAGAGTTGCTCTTTTCAGCTGTACAATCGCATTTAAATATTCTTTTCATACAATAATAGAAAGGAATATTTCATGAAATATTTTGAGATGGGGAAAAGAAAAGGAATTACGTAATTTTTGAAATAGTAATAAGAAGACTTATCAATACGGAATTAATATTACGTTACTAGGTTAAATTATGTAACACAATGATTATAAAGAGAAATCAGGATTATAGGAGTTTAGGAATATAATGTGTGAGAAGATCTGAATGAAAAGATCTTGAAGGTAGAAGTGTTCTTATAGGTTATGTCCATTGCAACTCAAAAGACTGGACAAATTTCTTTTGAACGCAGAGTTTGAATTTCAAAATATTAATTGCATTGGCTTCCACAGTTTGAAGAAGTTTTAGGCGTACACCGTTCACAAGATTTGCGCAAACTCTATAGATTACCCCGAAGTTGTTTTCTACATTAACCGGAGGGTCATAACATATCATATGTACTAAAAAGCCTGATGGTTGTGAGAGCAGTTACTCAACGATGACATTGGCTGGTGGTCGCTCTATATCGTGAGCTGACAGAAGTTGGAAATATGGACCAATGGATTCTGGTCCAGTGGCTCAATGGCAAAGTGCTGGCCACGAAACCTGAAGGTCGCGAGTTCGATCCCTGGCAAGGTCGTAGGTGCGCATCGCTGAGGAGCCCCCTACTAAGATGAAACAGCTGTCCAGTGCTCCCAGGTTTCCTTTCTTCCTCCAACTGACGTCAGTCTACGATGAATAACAACTTAAAATAGAGCTGCGAAGTGTCCTTCTTTTTCCTTTGTGGAACCAGGTTGGTATGTGTTCGAAAATACGTTTGGAAAACGAACGCTGGGTACGGCCAATATACCTAACTCCACAGAAGTAGATGAATTGATCAACACACATTAATGTGGCCAAGGGAGCTAGCTTATGCTTTACGCATAATCGAAGCGTTGAGTGGGTGGAGAAAATTAATATGAGTTTGCCAGATAGTTTCTCAACATATCTACTGATGTGTCTCCACTGAACTGTAAGCTCATGAAAAGAGGCTTCTTAGGAGCTGTAGATTTGTTGATCGTCATAGCTGAGACGTAAACTCAGTGGCTAACTCATCTTTTTTCGTGGGAGAAAGCATTCGCTTTCTGAAGTGTGTCTTGATAATCTCCCACGAACATTTATCATTTTCTGTGATAAGCAACGCGTAGGCCTGTAGTATGCAAATTTACTCAACAATAAAATAGGCTTCATGGGTCCATCAACATCATTTATATGTTTTTCGTTTAGATTTTTAGTTTACTGGAGCAAGCTGATTAACTTTTAATACAAAATATGTAATCAAGGATGTATTAGGTGTACTCATTTTCTACATCTAGGAAATGTTTTCTTTATTTCCTTTAAATCGTTTGAAATTGTACACTTCCTGATTACCGACTCATAACTGAGCTGCACTGTTCAGTGTCTCCGGCATGAATCAACAGTTAACGACATTGCATCTACAGTGAACGAATTGTAAGGAGTTTACATAGAAAGAGAGAGAGAGAGAGAGAAAGACAGAGCTTACAACTGTGAAACAACATATAGGATCTTTATGAATTGTTCTAAACAAGCAGACATAACACACTACTTTCGCGGTAGTACTGAATTCTGGTTAGTTGCAGTTTCGTTAACCTCAGTGAAATTATGGCTAAACAACATGAGAATTTGACTACCGATGGTTAAGATTATGTTCACTACACCTATTTCTACCTAAATTACTAGGTAGTACAACATCACTCACTGGGGTGCAGGTACATTCAGCTGACGAGTCCCAAATAGGATGAAACGCGCATTTTGGATTCCTGTGCTAGCTACAACCAAGTAAATTACTATAATAAATATTCAGGCATTATCGAGACATCGGCATAGGAGCCCATAGGCCAACAGAAGTTGGACAGTTCGCTTTTCAGTATTACAGCGGAGAATTACAAGCATATCAAAAAATGGTATGATAAACCACTGAAAATCAGACTATTATACGTAACTCTATAGATTTAATGAAATGTTTACGGGTTAGTTAACATGCTTCGACAGAAACTTGATAGCGAAATGCAACAATAATGTTAACCAGTTAAATCTCGTTATGTCAATTACAATAATGATGATGATTGTTTTGCATGAGAATAGATTGTAAATATATTTCTTAACGCAAAAACCATAAATCAAAATAACCTGTTTGGTCACCGGAAAAGGGAGATGATTTCTGCCAAGAAAACATTTTCTTTACGACGAAATGTCTTCTCTTAGCTGTATACTCCCAAATATATGGTAGAAACGATAGAATATCACAAAGTAATTTCCTGGCAAAGGTCAAAATACATTGCACGACATAAGAAAGTTACGTACTATGCATATTTACGTTGGTATGTAAAATAGGAGGTAAACACATGATTACAAAACAAAATAAAATCTCTTTGTACAACCATATTTTCACAACTTTTAGGAAGCCACGTGAATTTTCTATGTAGAACGTCGTTCGATATCATTTAACGTTAAGTATAATTTCAGGGTGGTATTCATCACAAACCGACGTCAACTTTAGGATCTACGTGCTCATCGCAAGTCCTGGTGGTCATAGTTTCCATCCTAGTTATGGGTAGGCACTGCTAAGGAGTTACATGCTAAGATGTAACAACTGTTCAGTGTTCCTAGGTTCTCAATAATTCTATCATTGATAGCGGTTCGTGACGAATACTTCCCAGTGGTCAACCAACCACTACAAACCCCGTCAATTGAAGTAAAGGATAATTGTAAGATCTGGTAAAAAAAACTACTGAAAATTCATTTTACTGAAACACTACTCTTCAGTTTTACAAGATTATAAAAACTCTCACACTTTGTTTAGTACACCTTATAAGTATGAAGGATATTTCATAGATTTAGTTCCCTTGACAAAATTGCACAAAGCAATAACAATGAGATTTCCAAAATAAAATGACCTCGTCTTATTTCATAACCTGCTGCATCAGCTGCAAACAACCACCTACAATTGAAATTAAGTATTTGCAATAATAATGGCATGACAAATTTCAATTATGTAGGAGTGGATGAAGATTTGGAATTCAGGAATAACAATTAAGCAGTGAGTCGATGAAATACATGATTAATAGTTACAAACTTTAGTCGGAATCGATGGAAATTTATATCTGATGCGATAGAAAATTCTGGAACTGTGGATCGAGGATGGGGGGGGGGCAACAAACGAAAATCAGTGTAAAAGAAGGGACTGTTTAAGAGTTAGTAGGTTATGCGATTACATGAAAAAACTTGAAAATGTTTAAGTGATTAATAATTAGTAAGTAATTATTGAAAAGATGATGAACCAAAGGAAAATGGAAAACTATATACATACAAATGCAAAAATTATATACAGTTACCAAGGTAAAGAAAGATTAATCATAGTCTCCTTTCACCCTTTTTTTAGTCCGTCCTATATGCTTGCTTCCACAAGGATGGGTGAATTGATATACGCAGTTGGAGGTGATGTGAGATGGGTATTTGTCTACTTTCGACTGTGTTATTGAGCATAATATATTGTAAACTGAGATTAGTCTAGCGGAAAGAAAGCTGCTTCTCAGTGTAGCTTTTATTCCTCTGTGTATTCTTTCATATGTCTCATCACCTTTTATTCTTCTGTGCTCAATAATACAGTCGAAAGTAGACAAATACCCATCTCACATCACCTCCAACTGCGTATATCAATTCACCCATCCTTGTGGAAGCAAGCATATAAGACGGACTAAAAAAAGGGTGAAAGGAGACTATGATTAATCTTTCTTTACCTTGGTAACTGTATATAATTTTTGCATTTGTATGTATATAGTTTTCCATTTTCCTTTGGTTTCATCATCTTTTCAATAATTACTTACTAATTATTAATCACTTAAACATTTTCAAGTTTTTTCATGTAATCGCATAACCTACTAACTCTTAAACAGTCCCTTCTTTTACACTGATTTTCGTTTGTTGCCCCCCCCCCATCCTCGATCCACAGTTCCAGAATTTTCTATCGCATCAGATATAAATTTCCATCGATTCCGACTAAAGTTTGTAACTATTAATCATGTATTTCATCGACTCACTGCTTAATTGTTATTCCTGAATTCCAAATCTTCATCCACTCCTACATAATTGAAGTGTGTCATGCCATTATTATTGCAAATACTTAATTTCAATTGTAGGTGGTTGTTTGCAGCTGATGCAGCAGGTTATGAAATAAGACGAGGTCATTTTATTTTGGAAATCTCGTTGTTATTGCTTTATTCAAAATAAAGGATTATATATTACTTGGTCACATAAACTCTATTCATACTCCTTGAGTCTTTACAGTCACTGGAAATGATAAACTTTACTGTAACAAAAATGTGAGGAAGTGGAGAATATATTTAAGACTTAATAAAATGTCTTTTATCTCTTTAAGTAACAAAGAATGAATATGAGTGAGATACTGGAGTCAATTTCTAAGATCTTAGACATATGAAAGAAACAACTGCAAATTGAGTTATTGAAAAATTTAAGGAGTCATTGAAAAAAAGTCTCACTTCAAACCCATCACGAACGCATATAAGTTATAAAAAACATTGAA